TGTGCCGCTCAGAAAGTGGCGCTCTTTAGGTAAACATTTTACATGAGCAGATATTAATTCTGCAGTAACAACCGTTACAGATTTTGAAGGGGAAATGTGGACAAAAATCCACTGCACATGTCTCATTACTCCTGGATGCACTGATGTGTGTCTTACAAGGACACGCTTCAGCATGGGTACAACAGAGCCATGAAAATTAGGACGTTAGCATTGACCATTACTGTCATCTATCCTCAGACCCGACTCAGGCCTCACCCATTCTCCTGATGACGTCCTTTATAAAGGGGAAAGGATCCCGCCTGAAATCTTGCACACATGTAGTTGTCATGACACGTTTCTTCACTCAGAGTCTTGTGGACTCGGCATTTCATATTTTATTCAGTGGGTTAAAGTGGGTTATTGTCTGTTGTGAACATGACTTATATTGCTGCTTACATTTCCCTAACCTGGGTCCCTTGGAGTTTTTCTGGCTGGCTTCTGTGTGTGTTTGACATGCCTCCTTCATTCCCGGAGCATTTCTTCATTTTCTCGACATACCCGGACATCCCAGGCTCACTCTATGCTTTTCCTGCCCAGCCTGTTAACTGGCCATTTCTCCCAGAAGCTTCTGTTTCTTTTAGAGGAGAATGGTTTTCAGTGGCCAGAGTGTGAGTGCTACGCGAGCACGTGGCTGACCAGTGTAGCTGCCCACAGGCCATCTCAGTGGACAGAACTAGGGAGTGTCTGCATGCATGTGTATATATGTTTACACATACAAGCACGCATGCACTTCCATGCTATTTCTATATCTGTTTATGTTGAGTACCATGAATTCACGATGCCTCCAGTTCTGATTTGACAGCACAGTGCTTTCTTGTTTTTTCCATTACCATGCTTGTCACTTACCAGCAATGAGAAAGCTGATTCAGTTACCCTTTATGTACTTACTTATGTGAGCAATGCTCTCGGAAATATTCATTCCCTCAGTGCCAGTCTCTCACCGTAGCCCCCACCAGGATGCCCTGCTCATCCCCTGTAGGTTCCAGTACCCTGCCGCTTCCCTCCTGCTCTGCCTAGACTCTGGACCCTTGTCAGGCCTCTCCTCCTCCTAGACACGCTCCTCACCCCTCTTGGGCTCTGTCACTCTATGCTGGTCCCCTCTCTGTGTAGAAGCCCCACATCCTCCCTGGGCTCTGGAACCACGTACCAGCCAGTCCCATGCAGGGCCATGTGCCTCACCCTACCCGAGCTCTGCACGCTGATGCCAGCTCCTCGGGACTGGACACCCAAAGTCTGCTTTTGCAAGGTCATGAAGTGATTCTTCCATGCTTTTTTACAAGAGCTGTATTGTTTAACCTTTCATGTTTAGATTTGCTATTTATCTGGAACTGATTTTCGTACAGTATGAGGTCGGTGTCAGTATCCATCGTCATTCAATTGACCCATCATGTACTGTAAAGAATATAATCATCTACAGCAGCTACCTACTTTAATTGTAAAATGTGTTTTTCTTATGTGTGCTCTCATTCTACCATCTTGACCCTAAGGTTCTCATTGCCAAGTTGCTAAAGTCAAGTAAAATGAGCATTTGCTTGCCAAGAGCATATATCAGGATCAGATAAAAGGGAGTAGTATAATGAAATTTCCTTTAGACTTCCAAAATGGAGAAAACCCCGTTCTCCTGAGACCTGGACCACTGAGAGCCTCATAGGCTCTTGGTGCTGGTGAGCACTCAGGTCTTCAGTGCCTAGAAATCTGGGTCAGTGATGTTTGGAAAAATTTGGCACGAATATGCATTACACTTGCCTGGCCCACCTGTCACTGTTCCTGCTCCTGTGACACTGACAGGTTCATTATCCATTTCAAAGCAGTAAACAAAGTTTAGAATCAAGATGCTTATACTGGGGGATGTTAAATTTCCTCCCTTCCTAATGTAATTAGACTCCCAGTATTTAAGCTTTTGGTGAAATATTCTTGCTTATACTTAATGGTGTTGAGAATTGCAGAATTATATGAAAAAAGGTTATTTTCCAGATTTATATGGGATACAATTGGCACATGGGAAGGTTAGGAACTTTTCAAATAGTCTGTAACTTTCTGGTTCTGAAACTGGGGTTTTGCCCAAATCAGTTTAATGTTTTCCCCCATAACATTTACAGTTTTATGAGATAGGATAATATTTCATCTAAATTTTACAAAAGCATAGAGGTGAATATAGCTAATGCCAGAGCTGAAAGTTCCTAATATGACATCACATGTCACCAGTACAAACTCCCCAGTGCACGGGAACTGCTTCCCTTTCATTCGGTCTCATGTCAGATTGACAGTGGGAGATGCTTTCTCTGGTCACACATGGCAGTCAGTCCAACGGCTGCCCTGAAAGGGTCTGATTTTTCTTTGTGAGGTTCATTGCTAAAGGACAGAATTAAATTCTGTACTGCCAATTTAAAATAATCCGTGAGTCACAAAATTTCAAAATCCTCAAATAGTAGCCCCTCCTACAGAATGCACTGTCACCTGTTGACTCACAGCTGCAGATTCAAGAATCCGGAACCAATTCAAGAGCACGGCACCCAAACAAGCCTGCCCAGTCTATTCTTAGCAGTGTATCACCCGACTACAATACTTCTGGGTTTCTTAGTTTCAGAAGAGCTTTTCTTAATCCTGAGATCACAAGGCTGTCATTAATCAGAGCTGAGATCTATAGTATATGCAACAATAACCAAACAGCTCCTGGTATCTAACAGTTTGGGCATTTGTCCTAAGCCTGGTGCTTTGGTCAGAGAAAGGGGCCTATGTGCTGGCGACTCAGGAAGTCCTGAGTGGGTTGTGGGCCTCCGACAGCTCAAAGACTTGATCCCAACGCAAACAACTCCACACCAGCCCTCTTGAAGTTTCTTCTAGTGTTCATTTTCACCTGATGACATCTAGGCAGGAGGATGAACCCCACAACTCACCACTAGCTCTGGCTCTTAGGAAGCTGATTGCCACTTTAAGAAGACATTAATAGCCCTGGCCAGTATTGCTCAGTGGTTAGAGTGCCAGCCCTCAGACTGAAGGGTTGAGGGTTCAAGTCCTGGTGAAGCGCATGTACCTTGGTCGCAGGTTCAATCCCCAGCCCCGGTCCACCCCGGTCGGGGTGGGTCTAGGGAGGCAACCAGTCAATGTGTCTCTCTCACATCATTGTTCTTTCTCTCTCTTTTTCTCTCTCTCCTTCCCTCCCTCCCTTCCTCTCTCTCTAAAGGTCAGTGGAAAAATTATCCTTGAATGAAGATTAAAAAGAAGACTCATTAATAGCGGTATGGTGGGGACACTGGGAAGTGGAGTTGCTCTAACTCCGAGGCCTTTGGTGTGCTACAGGGATGGACACAGAGAGATCAAGGTGGCTCGGGCAGGAAGAGATGCAGGGCAGGGATATTTTCAGGACAGTATGGAGTGTCTGAGCGGGTTTGCAAGCCGAGAAGAGCGAGCGGTGGCAGAGAGAGACCGAGTGGGAAACTGAGCTGGAAAGAGAACTTGAGGAACATCACTTGAGGACAGGATCGGGACCAAGGAGACAGAGGGTTAAGAGCCTCTTTGACGCGAAGCTTTCGCATTCTGGGGCGATGATACAGGCTTCCCTCCCTCTGAGGAGACTGAGCAATGGGAGTGAACGCCTTTCTCCCCAGCTGGGCGCCTGCCGGGGTCAAATAAGTGCCCTGATTGCAAGTTTACTGAGGGTGCGCAGGTGACTGCTTTTCTCACAAGTCTGTCATTCGGGCTTCATCTAACCCCTTTTCAGTGGGGTGCCCTACTCTCCACTGGGCTTCCTGACTCCAGGTTGGAGATGCTGGTGCACCCCCTCCGAGTACTACCTGGCAGACTGGGAAGTGCCCGGGCAGTGTTACAGTGCAGGGCAGAGGGGGGACACCTTGGGGTAACAGCTTCTCCTCGAGCCTCCTTGTAGGAACTCGGCCTTTACCCTCTAGTCCAGAAATGCTGGTTGGGCTGCCGTCAATTCCCCCACCTTTTCAAGATTCCAGAGGGGAAGGTGGGTTGGTTTTCAGTTTTCTCCACTGCTGCTTTGGAGTTTAACTTTCTCAGGTTTTCTAGGTCAGTAGCTTCCAAACTTTCAAGTTTGTATCTTTCCCAGAGCAAAATACTTTAACAACTGAACCAAAAATGTAATGTATTTTGGATCCATTCATTTCTTTTATGTCAGAGTCTTTTATATATTTTATCTTAGTAATTCTGTTAAGGAATTTGTGTTTGGGTGCAGGGGTTCCAGTTGCAATCTCGAGGGCCTAGAGTGGCCAGACAGGTGTTCTGGCTCCTCTCACTGGATCAAAACCCTGGACAGGTCAGGGTCAGGAATATTAGTTAAGTTTGGGAGAATCTGGGAGCAGTATGACTTGTGCCTTACTACTTCTCATTGCGGGCAATAGGAGAAAACTCGCTCCAGGCTTGTACACAGCAGCTGCCATAGACGAGAGGTGATGAAGTCATGAGACAGGGCACCTGAGACAGTCCCCACCTCCCCACCCTGCTGGTTCCCCATGCTTTGTCCTTGGTGGGGATAGTTTCAGACGTTCCCCCGTGTCCCCAGTGAGGAACATGGGAAATAGGTGAGACATGCAGGTCAGGGGCATTGTCCTAGCACCACCTTAGGAGAGAAAAGGTGACGAAGCAGAGCCAGGGGCCAGAACTCCCCTGGAGTTCATGTCTGACTCCAGCAAAGGCCAAGTTGACGCTTTTGGAAGTGTTGGTAGAGATGGGGTTATTGCTTAGTCCCAACTATGCTGAGAAAACAGACCATGAGGGAAACCAATGACTTAGGCAGTGGCTGCAAGCAGGACCCCGGGCGTCCAGCAGCCCCTCACTTCCTCAGGAGGTCCCCTAAACTGTCTCCTCTTGGAGATGCTATCTTGGGGAGGAAGAGGAGGTGGCGGTCAATCTTTGAGCACAAAGAAACAGACTCGATGGAGTCTGCACCTTGAATTCGACTGAATATGTGAAAGATACATTTAAAATGAAAGAGACAATTTCACAGCAAAAGAAATGATTTTAATCTGAAAGAGGCTGCATGACCTTTAACTAGCAAATTTAAGTGCCCCCTCCTATCAGCAGAAACTGTGGGCACCTAAGAAAGAATAAATGAGTAATAAAAGTGGAAGAAGCCACGTTTTCTTAAAATACCCGGGTTGTTAGTGTATGTACGACTGGGCCCTCTCACTGGAATGTTGATTTTAGCTGAATTCACTGAGCGCCGCTTCATCAGGTATTTTAAAAATGTTTTTTGTGTTTCTTACGTATGTTGCATCCAGCAGCATGATTGTTGCGCATGAAACTAGAGAAATCCAGGGACTTTCTCCCTGACATGCACTTTAATCGTTAAAGCAGGCAACAGACAACTGCAGGGCGTGTTAGAATACAAGGGCATCATTTGGCATTTACGACAACTGCAAAACCAACTTGCTAAGGAAAGACCATTAGACTCCCCCAAACAGCGTGATGTTTACATGTTTGACGGTCAAAATAGGAACTGAAATTGTGGAGTAGGACATACAAAAAATGATTGGTTTAAATGTCGTCAAATTACTGCTAGCCCCAAAGAGAAAAAGAGTTGCAAAACACGAATGCACGTTTGTGCCTCAGCGGCACTCGCCTCCCATGCCCTCGCCTCAGTGCGCGATAAGATAAACATCTACAGGCCTTGGTTTTAGCTTTGGACTCGGCAGTTTGCTACACTTCTGCCCAGGGTCCTTAGGGTCTTCCTGTGTAAGTGCGCGTGCGTGCCCGGGCTGCACAAGCCTTAAGCTTTGGGGTAGAGGGTGACTGTGTCGTAGCCCTCCGGGGGCCTCGTGCGGGCCCGGGCGTGGGTTTCGCAGTACAGCTCCCCCTCCACGAAGAAGTAGCCCTTTTGCTTGAGGTTGAGGCTGCAGTCAGCGCACACGAAGCACTCGGGGTGCCGGTACTTATCCCGCGCCTTCACCACGGCCCCGCTGGGGAGGAAACCGAGAGCAAGTCAGAATGACAAAGCCCAGAGCCTGGTGCCCGGGCCACACGCACAGCTAAGGCAGGTGGCCCCCGTTTCGCATCCGGGAAGCTAGAGCCTCCAGCTGTATAAAGGGGCACAGCGGTGACGCTGATGTAATTGTCAGGGGGATGCAGTCAGCCAGAATAAACCATCACATGTCTGTCTCCGGTGGGAATATTTTTGGATGTTCAAGCAAGTCACCGACTTAAAAACTATAGGTTCTAACTTCATGATCTCTCCCCACTGTCTCTGTGAAAGAGGGAGACGATTCTGCGGAGGGAGAGGGTTCTGACTTTGGCCCGGGTTGCTGTCAGCACACCGACAAGGCCCTCTGACTGCTCTCTGTGTTGGTGGCCCAGCCTCTGTTCTGCGGAGCACAGAAAAAACAGCTCAAAGGGCAGAGGTGGCATTCACACAGCCGAGGACGCGGCTCTACTGTCAGGACAGTGTGCCGCCGTTTAGGAGCAATAACTGCTTTTGCTACGGTCACCAGCTGCCCATTTTAGGAGGCCCTCTCCACGCCTGGGCTTCCCGTCCCGCCTGCTTCTCTCTCGCCCCCTTTGCTCGGACCAGGCTTACCTCCCGCTGCCCCCCCGGGATGGGATAGACGCTGGGTAAGTGGACCGATGGTGCCTCCCTGCGGGAGCTGATGGTAGCAGGACAGGAAAAGGGGTGGGAGAGGGGCCCTGTGGCACTTGCGGCGGGGGGATGGAGATGACCTGGTTCCCTGGAAGATCTGAGCCAGCGAGTCTGGGTATTCAAACATAAAGGGCCTTGAAAAGGAAGCTGGGACTCTATTTTTAAAAATTGCGTTGGGATGTCTGTGCGACTTAAGAAACTGGGGAGAGATCATGCGTTTTGATGAACAACCTGATGACCATCCTATTTGTTTCCCTGGGTTTATACAGAAAAGGAAATACTCCGAGTTTGAAGCTTAACAAAGGGGCGCTTCTTGAATGGAAGTTTTGATTCTTGGAAATTATTTTAAAAATATACTCTGGGCATTTTTTTTCCATGAGAAAAATCTGAAATTATAAGTCAAGATTGCTGACTCATATTATATGCCTATTTTAGGGTATATCTACGGAATTCTGGTCAAAATGTGCTAAGTGAGGTGGAGGTTGCATTTCAGGTCAGTGAATAGAGATGGAGAGCTGCTACCCAGGCGAACAGGGAAGTGCTGGGTTAAAAGTGAAACTTACACAATGCCACTCCCGCATTTGTCACAGAGCGGCATCTTCTGCCCGCTGCCAGCGCCGCCGTGGGCTTTCGTAACCGGAGCTCTCACGCTCCGAGTTCCAGAGGGACGGTCATCTGAAAAACAAAGTGTTTCCATTTACGGCAAGGGAACAGCTGGCTCCAATTTGTACTCCGCTTCTATTTTAAGGTGTGCACTTTAACCTAAGGAATTCTTAAGTTGCACCGTAGTATCATTTTGGGTCGCTCGGAAACAGGGCCTTGCAAAACAGAATTAGTTACCAAGCTTTGTTGTCATAGGGAGCTGTTAGAAAATGCTCAGAGGAGCAGAGAGCATGTTGCTTTTTTTTTTTATTGTGGTGAAATATACTTAATATAAAATCGACCATCTTAATCGTTGTTAGGGTATAAGTCAGTGGCATTAAGTGCATTCTCGATGTTATAAAATTACTGCCTATATGCATTTTTTAGAAATCTTTACCATCTCAAACAGAAACTCTGTGCCCATGAAACAGTGACTGCCCTTTGCCCTCCCCTCCCAGACCATGGTAACCTCCATGTCCGTTCTGTCTCCATGACTTGCTTGTCCTAGGAACCTCATACTCGCAGAAGCGGAATCATACAATATTTGTCCTTTTGGGCCTAGCTTATTCCACTTAGAGTGTCTTAAAGGTTCATCCGTGTTGCGCCCTGTGTCAGAACCTGATTCCTTTTTAAGGGTGAATCATGTTCCACTGCATGCCTGCCCCACAGCTTGTTAATTCATCCATCCATGGACACTGGGGCTGTTTCCACGCTTCGGCTGCTGTGCATCACGCTGCTGTGAACATGGCACAAGTGCCTTTACACGGCTGTTCAGCTGAGCCCCCGCCCTCGCTTCTCTTGGGGTGTGTACGCCTGGGGGGGCTTGCCGGGTGGGATGGGGCCTCTATGGCAACCTTTTCAGGAGCTGCCGTTCAGGGGCTGCACCATTTTACGTTCCTATCAGCGGTGTACAAGGGTCCTCATCTCTCCGCATCCTCACAACACTTTTTTCCCTTTATTTTTGAAAATAGCCACCCTAAGGGGGCATTTTGCACTTTCGAGCGGCTTTGAAAGGACAGTCTATATCTTGGGGAGGGGGGAAACGTTGCTAAGAGTATGAGCCCTGAAGACAACAGGAAAAGGCTGCAGACCCAGCTCTGCTGCTTTCTGGCTGGGTGACTTGGGACAAATCTACCCGCTCTGTGCCTCAGTTTCTCATTTGTGAAACAGGGAAAATGCTAGCTCCTGCCTCATGGAGTTATTGTGAGGATTAAGTGATCATGCATGCAAAGTATGTAGCACAGAATTGGGAACACACTAAGGGTTCATGACATTGTTTTTAAATTTTGATGATGATACCCTGGAGTATGGGGAAGCTGAGAAATTTTGCAGTGTCCACTTAAAACTATTTAAAATTTGTCAGCTCAGATAGCCCTTGACTACTGTGGATGGGATTTGTGTTTGGTGCCCTTTCTATCAAGTTGGTGGCTACCTGGGGACACGTCCTGGAAGCTCCTCTCCTAAACCAGGCACCACCCAAATCCTCTGCACAAAGAGTCATTGGACTTCTGAATAAAATCAATATTTAGACTTTCCTTCCCAGTCTGTCTGCTGTCCTCCCCTCCCCAACCTTGCAACAGGCTCTGCCAATAACTGGCCACAGACGTTCACGGCGACTCACCATCGTTAACTAATTCCTGGAGCACCCTGAAGGAGCCTGACTGGCGAGGCTGAGTAGGCTCGTCCCGGTTGTCGTGGAGCATCCGGTACACGTCCGACTGGGGGGGCACCGAGGCTGTGGGTTCACTGAAAATACACGGCAGGCAAGGCGGCGTCAGGGGCACTCAAGGCAGCGACGTGCGCGACGCCGCAGACATCAACAAACAGTCATCACTCATCTGCAGCAACTCCTGAGAGGAGATGCAGGATTTTCCAGTTAATCTCTATTATAGGTCAAATACACTGTTTATTCACATGGCTGCCTTAAAAATGTCATTCCTTACCCTCGGGCCCACATCAGCACTTCTCCATTTGGCAAAATACTATGGAGGGCAACTAAGATGTGACTGTTAGGGAACAGTAATTTAAAAGACCTGCGTCTGCTGGATATATAATTGTAAACAGGAACAAAATAAACGTTTTTCTCAGCAAAAAAGGCAACATGCACATGATAGAAAGTGCAGGAGTGAGCCCAGTTCCATTATTCTTAGTCATAAAGTTGTCATTAAATTCAGATTCATTTCTGATATGAAACTAAAAGTATGTGGTTTAATTTTATTTTTAAGATTAATTTGCTTTGTTAATTTCTGGAAACAACAAAGGTATCATTTTGCTGGTAAATTGAAGGAATTCAAATTGCCAATGTTTGGAAACACATAATGTAGGAACTTTCACATATTTGTGAGTTACGTATTTGACTACACTGCTTTTTGTAGCCACATTATAATTCATTTACAACAATAAAAGCTTTATTTTAATAAACTTTCTACAAATATATTCATGATAAGCAAAGAAAATGCCACAATAAAACTACGTGTCAGGCACTAAATGCTCTATTATTTTATGTCATTTAATGGCATTACCTAGAAAAGGTAGTTACTGTCTGCATATAATTTTATTACCTATATCATATGTGGAAATAATTATCTTATGTATCTGAATTTCCTTACAAAATGGCTTCAAGATACATTATGCTATTATTATCTTACTGTATTCATCCTAAGAGATAGCTTTGGATATTGTTACATAGCACACTTAAGCATTATACTACTTTAGTTTATAAAAAATGGTTCTGTAATATTGAAAAAAATAATATTTTCTTATAATAAATTTTTAATTGAAAATATTTGATGGCAAAAGTACATTGAACAAATACTTATAATAAAGAAGAAATTAATCAAAATAGAGACCCTTGGAAATTAAATATCCACATTAATAGCTTAAACCCTTATTCATGGCAGAAATTTTAAATGGAAAAATAATGACCTCTCCCCAAGATGCCATTGGAAGAGAAGTATCACCTCTTTTAAAACCCCTCCGACCTCCCATCCCTTCCCAATTTTTGACCCGCAAAGGAGAAACAGAGAGTACACTAGACTCTTAATCACTTTTGAGAAGTATTGTACCAGACATTTGTAAAGAACATTGTGGCTTTTCAAAACGCATATACATTTGGTCCTTCCATGATTTCAGTTTATTACGATCCATCACATAAAGCTCTACTCAGTTCATTCTTCAAATCACCTTTATCCTTAGGCCTAGATATTTGCAATAAATCCTCAGTGTTTTTTCTTTAAAGCTTTTCACATAACTTTCTTGCAATCAAGACAATGTTAAAAGACACCCGTGACGTTGACATTGCCCATGTGTTTAGTTAGTATGCCCGTGGTTCAAAAAGACTCGCATTACCTCATTGAGGGTGCTTCCCCTAGAGCTGTTGAAACCTGACCCTGAAGTGTTTCCATAATATTGTCATCTGAGTACAACTGCATAGGTGTATTAAACTGGGCATGTACAATCTTCACCCCGGGAAGTTCCATTTCCAAAGGAATGTTAGGGGCCATCTTAGCAGCAACTTTCAAGTCCCCTGGGCAAATGGTACTAACAGTACTGACAGAAGAAGGGGTGCTACGTCCACTGCTACAGTCAATACCGGACGGAGTACTGCATCCACTGTGTTAATGACCACGTGACACAGGGATGGCCCAGGAGCCAGAGGAACCAGACAGGAGAACACAGAAAACAAGGACAGAGAGGTTAAAAGGCATTGAAGACAAAAAGTGAGAAGTGAATTAAATATCAAATTAAAACAAACTTTCTGGCTAAAAAAAAAATTTTTTTTTTTTAAAATAGGGAGGACATTTAAAAATTCATGATTGAGAAAAATTTCACAAGATTAAAAGGGACAGGTGATGTTGCATTTCTTGGCTCTGTTCTACCAGGCGATCTGTAAGTCAAAGGCCAACGTAAACAAGTTGTATATAAAGTAGAAAAGATGTGACCACACTCACTTTTTAAAAATAGGCCAGATCATTCTAAACTTGACAATATCACAGACAAATGGTGCAGGGAAATTGCATTGGCTGGGTATCCTTTTACATTTCTGAGATTCAATATTTAAAATTAAAAGATTAATGAATGATCCATGCAAATAGGAACTGGATATGCTGCGTGAAGGTCCATTAAATATTTAGTCTAGAAATTTCAAAATAAATACGCTTCAGAAATGCAGTTGAGTTTACTTGAGTAGTAATTAGAGACATGTAGGTTATGTGATAAAGATTATGTTTTAAGGCTACTTTGTAAATGTTTTATTTTGACTATTTTAACTTTTTCTACTTTCATTTTTTAATTTTGTGAGGAATATGCTTTTAAAAATTGTTCAGTGATTTAATACAGGCTCTAGAACAGCCAACAAATGCTTGTCACCTTGATATATTAATGTTTAGAGAGCAAGTAAGGTGATTTCGGACTCTTTGGATGCTACCTTGGGGTAAGATATGCCTCTTTTATACTCCACTATTTCATGCAAACTTTTGAAAACACACATATTCATGCATATTTATCATTTCCTTTTACAGACAAGTTGAGGGGATTTCCTATTAAAACATCAGAAAGGCCAGTCATGCAATTTTCAGAACGGCTGGGGAGAGCTCATGTTCTCTATGAAGCCGGGTAGGAGGCTGGTCACAGCCAACACACCAAGAACCAAAACGCCAGGTTTCTACGTGCATTTTACGTGCGTCATGACAAATGCATTTTAAGAGAAAATGTACAATACTGAGATTTTTTTTTTTTTTTTTAAAAAGCACAGACAGTTAAGACACGGCCAAAGGAAATATTAGTATTAATGTAAACTCCGTCATGCCTGCAGGTGAGTGTTGCTGCAAACTCAAGACAGAAAACAATTTATATGGTGTGTTCATCTCAACGGCAGTATTCTCTTAGGGCTCAAGTAGGACCCTTCTCTGTGTTTACTCTCTGAGGCTACTAATGCCAACCTCAGCCCCATACAGAGAGCACAAACCGAAAGGATTCAGGGCCCTGATTTTGTTGACTTCATCAATGTCACAGCCTAATTAGTCTCTACAACCCATGTCACTAATGGAATAATTTTTTTTTTTTTTTTTTTTTTT